CAAGCCGCCTTGGCGGGGTGTTGCTGTTGCGTATTTGTTCAGTAGTTATTATTGAGGAAGGAATGTGGGAAACATGAATCGTCAGGTGTTACTGATGTATAGCGAACAAGCTTGCCTGCAGGATCAGGATGTATACTTCCTCAGAGTATACATTTTCGTGTACACTTCATGACATGACACCATGGCTGAAAGCCGTAGTAACTTCCTCATGGGCACTTTTCAGTGCATAGATGGCAATGATGAACAAGCATTACCGTTACATACTTAAAGGCGTACGTCATGGATGGAAAACATTCACCACACATGTCTTTTTTAAATATTTGAACGTTATTTCTCTACTAACTCTCCACGCAAATGTGGAGGCTCGGTTTCACCGTTCATTTTACATTACGAGACCAGTGGGTCTGTCTGTCGTTTCCGTCTCCACTGCCTCTGGTCCGCACAAATACATGCTTGAAATAATGCACACAATCCGCTTCCAAATGATAGGTGTCTGCGGCATTGCACGATGCGTCAAGTGCCTTACACTCTAACCTCGCGGATTTCAATTAAATCCGGTCGCACGGTATTGCAATCAGCCATAAAGAACCCTATGACATCTTTAAAATTCTCGGTTGCACTGTTCCGGGAGCAAAGCTTTTGGCAATTTCAAGTTACGTGGCTGCAAGGCTATATTCAGGAGCGATTTTTCATGTGCTAATAGATATCTTGGTAACCTGTACTAGAATAACACAAAACGTCCAGAAATTTGCATGCCATTCTTAAAAGCCTCGTTTTCAACCCCTTCCCCCCAAAAACAGCGATCAGGGCATTCATAGTTTTTTGATGGCACCAAAAACAACTTTTCCATGTGATATTGCGCTTTTTTCATTTGCATGTGAGAGCGTAGTCTTGTCCCCAGATGGCAGCAGTAAAAATGTGGTGATCCGCTTGGAAAGACATGTTCATCCACTGACGAACATGTCTTTGTAAGGATCAAGAACACGAATCATGCCTGACACACGCAAACTGGGCGCGCGGCGCGTTGCCGCAAGGTGCGCCCCCCCCCCCCCACCCCACCCCGCCCCACCCCAATCACACGCATGTAGATTGTCGAGGCCGGGGTAATTGGAGAAAGGGGGATGCGGAGGTGTGTGTACCGACGGTGGTGCCGTCTCTTGTTTATGTGGGGCGACTCAGAAGTCCGACAAAGGCCCAGTGATAGGGCTTGGACGAGAGCTTGCTGTGCGGTTGGACCGCGTGGGCGTATTGGCAGTGTGTCTTACGACAATGAAACGCTCAGACAACCCCAGTTGTGCCGATCTATTTGGGGCGCTCAAAACGAATGCGCGGAGATGTTTTAGGACCGCGCCAATATAACTGTTTTTTGTATTTTGTTAGTATTTTTTAATATCTTTGTATTTTATGTATTTTTTTATTTCAGGAGATATAACTGGTTAATCGCGTCCGGGATCCGCGGACAACAGTAGGAACGCTTCTGTGTTGCAGCTGTCGCGCCAAACATACTCAATGCCCTGGGAGCCTTCCTTACGGCAATAACGCGGAGAACCTTGTGCGGAGCCGGAATGCGAGTTTTCTTACTCCCAGCCTCGGTAACAAAGTTCAACGAACCTCTGACTATCACGAATCGGAAATAGCCGGATAAAATTTTCGAGTCGTTTTGGAGGGTCTTGAAAATATGTCAGTGCATGGGTTTTTTAATGCTGCGTAGTTCATTTTTTAGTCGTTCATCCTCATTTTCAAAAGCTTTCGACCGATTCTGCAATAAACTTCTTCTTCTTCAGTAACTGTGACAAGTAAAAGTGTGCCCATACGTGTAAACGCAAAGAGGACGGGTACTTATGTTGAATTCTTAGCGTGCATGTTGCGCAAAAAGTATAAACACAATTTTTCCATGCATATGTATTCCCATCCAGAATGCCGTTTTCACAACTCGCACATTGCTTTCGCTGCAGAAGGCTTAGTTGCGCCACAGAGGTAGACCAGGGGAGCAGGGAAGTTGGGGAAGGCAACCAGGTCACTAAAACGCTAACTAAAACAATCTTTCTGCTTGGATATTCTGGCTCCTGATGCTCCACTGCGAAGAGACAGAGGCTGGAAAAGGAAAGCGATGTGGGAACTGGAAAGGTGTATTGCTTGCGTGGATTTAGGTATCGCACTGACAAAGTGATGACTATTTCGTCAACGAGCGTACATATATAAAGTGCAATACTTAACGGAAATAGCCGCAATTTCTCCCGGCGTTAAAAAGTTATGCTTGGCTTAATTCATAACACGGCAAAACGTGATGCGTAAAACAGATTTGTGATGCACGTTGTTTACGCCAATCACTAAGATTACTAACATGAATACATTAATGCGATATCATCTGGCGTTTCAGACATGAGCGTATGATGAATGAGCTTAAAGAAGAATTATAATGGGCTGATAGCACTCAAAGCCGCCTACGGAGCCTCACGGTGTCCCCATTTACGTTAGAGAACAACCGAGTCTTTCGGAACGACGCAAGGCATCGCTCGTCATAGCCTCGAACTCAAACAAGAGCACGGAGTTTCACCAGAGATGTTTCCCTGCTCGAAGGGGAGACAAATGTGTGAGGAGGAAAGCCAAAAGATTGTCTCGTTGAAGATTTACCCCCTAAATAAGGAAGACGAGAGCGACCCACACGTCAGATTCTCCACGTTCGTTAGTCTCCGCCCGAAACACCGCGTCCTGATAGACAGCAGCGGCATTCACGTACTTTGGGTGTGCTGTTATCACGAGAACGCAAAACTGATGGTGGTATCTCTAAGCCCGATAGACGTAACTTATATGGACCTTTAGAGTCATGCCGAGTGCGATGTTCATAGGGAATCGGAACCGCAATATGAATGTAACCATAATATAAATAAAAGAACATAATATAAATAAAATAGCCGAAGCCATGGTCGCACTGACCAGGCATCACTTTAGGCCCAGCGCCAGAGCGAATTTTTCGATGCCATAAAACAGTTACAGCCTGAGAACGAAACTTTGATCACTTTAACTTTTTGGAAAGCTTCACTTTCACTCTCACATAAAACGCTATGCCAGTACCAGCCTGTCGCACCTACATTTTGATCATATCTCCTCTGCTGAAAACCTCGCCAGTTTTTGCATGGCAAAGCTAATGTGCAGACGGTACACTCCCTCGTACCAAAGGTAGAAGCCCTTTGGACAGGGGATGAGCTTAGCGTCAGATTAGCTACGACCAAGACTGTCAAAGGGACACATAAGGTTCACGGGGTAGCTCCAGTGAGTACCCAGACTGTCATTGTCCGTGAATTAGCGTCAGATGTTGGGAGAGAAGAAGCGGTCGCTTGATTTCCAAGAGTTGATGAGTTTTAGTGAGTTAGACTGAGTCACTGGCGCACTGATTCGACTTCCACGTGCATACGAACCATCGTGTTGTTAATCTTAGCGTTATCTTACAATGCGCTCATTTCTTTTCCAATGAAAACCATCGTATTTCAGTGTGTTTTTGCTGTTTTGCTCAATCCTTTTAAAAAGATCATGTTTGAACAGTGAAGCCTTTCGCCTGGTTTCTGGCAGCGGAGGAAGACAAAATGAAGGGTCCAGACCTGACCCGACACGACGGGATTCATTGCCACAGTGCTGCGGTTCCAGGTCAGGAGACACTTGTATCAGGACTCAGCGATTGCCGTCACTGATACCGACTTTTGTCGCCAGTCACCGCTCTGTCATACCCCCCCCCCCCCCCCCCCTTAGCAGCCTGCCGCCGCCTGAGCGGAGAGACGTGCGGGAGATACTGCGCCGGCAGCCGGCGCCGGATGGTGCGAATGATGCGTAGACGCGTATTGTGGCATTTTTATCATTCTCTCCAAGTCGATCACCGCCTTTTACGTCGGAATTATGGGTTTTAAACTATGCCTCTTTACATGCAAGTGAGAAAAGGTTTAACACCGGGTGGGAAAATGATTCTGTATGCATTATAAATGTCCATAATGTCGCAACCAATAGCTATCATGCCGTGACAACTCCAAGCACGCCGTAGAACTCTAGCTGCAAGGCTTTTTAATCACCTAAACATTTAGGTTTGCGAGTCTTTCTCTCAGCGTAGTGAGAAAAAAACGTCGCCGAAAATGCACAAGCACACAACGCGAAAATGACGTGGGCTGTAGCTCCAGAACCGCTTAACTGAGAGACCGGCAAATGTGTCAAGCGTCTTTAACGCCACTGACAACTCCTGTGCCCATTTTCATCAGAATCTGAGAGATGAGGGTGTTAAGTCAATCGTTCGATTCGTCAACTTCTTACGGAATGCCCTGTCTAACTCTGCCCACGGTTCATATCAGAAAACTGTAGCATTATGTGAGTCAGCAGCTTTTCA